TTTTTTTATTTTTATTTTATTTTATTTTATTTTTTGTTATTCCTTGGTAAATTTGATGGTGTGTTTGAGTCCATACTGATGTACATCTCTTCCAAATTGTAGAAGTTTCTTAAGATGCAAATGGAAGAACGCATCTGAATTTTTCAGCTATTGTGAATCGTGGTTCTTGCCCCAAAAAGCTTGCTAGTCGTCAACAGACATCAGGTGCTTGCCTGGTGGTGCTGTACGTTATCAGAGGAGTAAAGGGAAAAAGAGCCTTTGCCCAGACAGATCCCTGCTGTCCCTCAGTGCTTATGGCAGCTGCTCTTGTTACTACCTAGTGGTGTTCCACCGAGATGGGTAGGAGAGCTGGTTTGCTGGGTCTGCACAGGATGAAAGGCTGACTGAACAGGTGAGGATGTGTCTGTGGGACATTCTCAGAGGAGCAGTGGTCCTTACCAGGTGATGGCAAGGCTTCCGTCTGCTAGGCACGCAGGCTTTGTCTGGGGTATTGTGTATTTGTGCAGAACTGCAAACAACATACATACAGGTGTTCTCTATTTTTTTTCCTCTTGTATTTGACCCTCCAATATCCTGATGTAATGAAGTGCTATAAACTCTTTGTTTATGTTTATTATAGGCTATGATAAGCTCAAGAATACATGTGATTTATAGTATATGATACTTGAAGTCCTATAAAAGATTTCCTAGTATAATTTTGGGATGGTTATCTTGAATGAGTGCAGAAAGCTGTGCTGATTTAAAAAATGCCAAATACAAAGCAGAAGAGCTCCTTATCTCAAAAATACTAAACACTGGGATAACTTTTGTTTCCATTGCCTGTGAAGTCAGGTATGCGCCTCTTACGTTTTCTGAAGTTCAAAATTGATTTTAAATTATATGATATGCTTTTTCTATACAGGAAACTGTTAAATTTTGAAGTATAGTATGTAAAAATCTAGAAGTAGAGGAAGATGCCCCATGCAGTGCTGTTAGGAAGCTGCAATCTTTCCATATGCTCTCCAGTATTCCACTTAGAGCCAGGCGGGAGAGTATCATGTTGGATCTGACAGCTGTCACTGGGAGAAATGGTATCCGTCTTCTGGGTTTGGCCATAATAATTTGGGAGGGAAATGCCAAATTAGCGGGGAAAGAAGAAACATTTCCTTTTGTAAACAATCTTACAAGATGATTACAATTTCTTTGAAGCTACTTAAAAATTCTGGTATTAGGATTCTGGTAGAGTAAATGCAGACAAGATGGATTTGTAGAAGTAGTAGCTGATGGGCAGTGAAAGATGCATGATTAACCATTTTGTTTTGTTCAGTTTGTTTCATCAAGTGTTGTGTATATTCTGTTTTTGAAACCTAAAGTGTGTATATATATGTTTGTCATTTTGAGTGGATGCTTTCTGTTATTTACAGTAGGGTATAATTATACACAGACTCTGACAAATACAGTAGTGTTGTAGAGTCTGTTTTTAGGCTCAGACATTTGTGAGCCTAAATGAAATTAAATTTTAATTTGTGATTATGATCTAATGTGCCAACACTTAGCCAAGCTATGAGCAAGAAAGTCTTTCAGGGAAACAATGCTATCAACCTCATGCATAGCCTGGTACTAAACAAGGTTCATCTGTACCAGGACAGGGCGTTCTGCTGGTTGTTTTTTTTTTCCCCTCTGTCCACTTAGTTTCCTCTGTTCTAGACAGACAGGATGAGTTGGTGAGGTAGAACACATAGTTGCTGGACTGGAACAAATTGTTTATTTTCCATTGTTTGTAATCATGCATGACTTATGCTTGTTGTGGTTTGTTTTGTGGTGTTTTTTTTTTTTTTTAAACTGGGATTTTCCATTTATACTCCACCGAGAATCAGTGTTGTTCACTATTGGAAAGGCTGCCTTTGGAGTTCAGTTTTTCTTCTGATTAGGGTAGTCCCACCGACCACACAGCAGGCTAACTACGTCTGTGTCCTTCCTCCCCACTTCTGAGCCTCCAGTCACTGCCAAAAGGCTATTGATGGTCATTAATCCTTAAGAATGAAGTAGCATCTGAAAAGGAGCGAGCAAAGCTGAAACAAATGCTGTGCTCAGAGTCAGTTTACAGCAATGACATATACTCAAACCAAAACATTGCCATGTAAAGATACCCAACGCTAAGCTGAGATGCTCAATGTTTTCTGAGGTACTATGTCTGAATCTTCAGTTTATCTGCATTATAACTTCTGTAGTGATAACCTTGGGTTCGCTGTAGTGTTTCACCTCCTTTGCCCTCTGTGTGGCTTCTAGCAGCATGTTTTGCACTGTACCTTGCATTTCCTTACATTAAACACATCTTTCAGTGTCTCGAGACAAGGATGTGTTTTTCTGCCTCCGGCAAATCACTGGCTGTATCATTCTCCTGTTAATAAGACTTCCCCCCCCCCGCTCTGGTTAGAGGTCAATCTGAAGTGCAGGAAAGAATGATTATGATAACAGGAGGAAACAGGAAGAATCATGCTTTCTTTTTCAATCTGTTTTTTATTATTGTTTTAATGTAAAACATTGTTTCAATTAAATGCTGACCTGTGCAGTGGTGTGTGAGTGCACATGCTGAAATGAATTCAGGCTTTGTTTGAAAAGCTGTGACCTCTTTATTCCTGTTCTGGATCAAGGCTGTTGCATTTCATACCTGCTGCTGAGGACTGAAATTTCACTTGTACTCCTAGTAGCACAGGCAGAAATGGTCCTTAAGAGCACTGCTCTCCTTGGGTGTTTTTATGTGCTGTTCTCTCAATTTTTTTTTAAATAAAGTTGTTTTTAAGAATTCACCACATCATGGAGAAAAGATAACCATGACACGATTAAAATGCATCAAATGGGCACTAGGCTAAACTGGTACCTGATGTAGCAGATATGTATAGAAACAAGGCGCAGAGATCCTTATCAGTTGCTTGCTTTCTCTATGACTTAATTTCATGCTATGCTATTTTAGTCTTTCATTTTTTTAAAGTGAGAGTGCCAGATGAATTGACTTTGCCAAAAAGAAAATGTAGGACTCAACCCCAATACCTGCTTCCACACCCTGAAGTGTTAGCTGCAATGACACTAGAATAAGATGTTGAGTTTGTTATTTGCTTGGATGTAAATTTTAAATCTGGGGGAGTTAATCTGTATTGTCTTGCTTAAGTTTTTTGTTTGCTTAAAACGAACTGTTTCAGAGGAAGGAAGAAGGGGGGGGAGGAATAACATGAAAATTGTCTGGGTTGTTAAAATGAGTCAGTTGTATTTTATACTTGTCCTCTGGTGACCAGATTTTCATTTTTCTCCTTGGCCTCATGGAATGTTTTTATTTATATATCTTATTAGTTCTGGATGTTCTGTGCAAGGGGAAACCTGAATTACAAACTTTTTTTTTCATTATTGTATTAAGAGCCTGGGTATTGAATGCAGGTGCTCAGACTCTGCCATAATTGGCAGTTTATGGAGAGACACCAGCTGTACTGCTTCACAGGGGAGATATTATATCTCTTCACACGTTGTATATATTGTAGGAAATGCAGAATTCCTGTAATTGTCAGAAACTTTGCATGTCTGCATCTACCAGTGCCTCTGTAGAAAAAAAGACAACAATCTGCTGAAAGTTAAAACCATGTCTATTTTCAGAAATGGCTTATCCCTTTTATTGTCCTTTCATGTAGCACTAATTGATGTTTTGTTTGGTTAAATATAGAAAAGATTTAGCAAATATTTGTCTTTTTATGGTCATGCAAGGCGAACTGGTGTACTAACTGCCTCTTTTTTTTGTAACACGTGACAGGTTATATTACATATCTGCATGTGTGTATACAGGATTATACTCATCATGTAATATTACACTAAATCACATCTTTACAGTTTCAGTTCACAGAACAGAGTTCGAAGTAGGAGCAATAGAACTCCAAATTATATTAGACCTTAAAAGGCATAATTATAGAGTGGGAAAACCATGATGCTTCTGGGCATCTTACACAGTGGGAGCCGTAGTTGCTCCCTCTGGGGAATGCCTGGGAGCTGCAGATGGTACCGCTTGGTCCTGCCTGAGGACTATTGATATATTGATGTGCAAGTGGGTGGGACCTGAGTGGCTTTTGAAGGATTGAATTATAGGGGGAAGCTAGGCATTAGTATCAAGATTTATAGGTATTGTATGTGAGTGATTTGGCCAAACAAAGGAGAAGGTAAAAGCTATGCCTGTGTTTGAAAAGTGTGATCGCTGAAGGGAATGAAGAGCTGTTGAGTGTTGCAGGGAATGTTTGTTGTGTATCAAGAAAAATATAAGTATCTGGCACCTTATTAGATAGCAAAATAGGGTTCCAATGAAAGTAAAAGAAATCTCATCAGTTTGTTTTTAAGAGCAGCTTGGAAAACACAGCCCTAGTAATAGAGGAATGGACAAGGCTGCAAATGCCTTATGTGAGCTGATTTAACGTTTGCCTTGAATGTTCATTATCCCTCTTCCTCTGTGGTTTAGAAATGTGTTGGATCGATGTGTGGACATTTGGAGGTTTTGTCCTGGTAGCTTCATCTCTGGGAACGCAGGGGCAAGGCTGTTTCATTCTGTCTTTTGGAACAGATTTAGTTTATATTCTGTCTGTAGTCATTAAATCCCCTTTTTCTTGCTCTCTCATCGGAAGTGTCTTGCATGTTTTTTGACCTAGTTGAGGCCTGGCATTGAGACATTCTTTTGAACATCGTTTCCTTTCCAGACCTGCTGTGTGTTTGTGTTGTACATTTTGTGTTTGTGATTACCAGGAGGAAGTCTACATATTTCCATGTTTTCTTTGTTTTTAATAGGTTTGTACGCATTGCGGAGAGCACTGGGGAAAAGACCTAACCTATTAGACAACGAGGTGGCTGGGTCAGTGATGATTGCTTTCAATGACTTCCTGCAGGGGATGAATGATGTCAGGCCCAGCGCCATGAGGGAGGTGGCAGTCGATGTGCCAAAAGTAAGTTATTTTTTGCAATATGCTAGCAACATTGTTAGAGCCATATTAAGAGTTGCAGTTAGGTGTTGAAATGCCCTACTGAAAGAGAGAAATTTTTGGGAAGTGGAAGCCTCAAAATAACAATAAATATTGTGCATCCTCTTTTTGTTTGCATATTTTTTTGTTTAATTATAATTTTGAAGACCTATTTACAAAAGCTGAAGTTCCTCATCCTGTAGGAAGAATTTGTAGTGCAGGAGCATACCTCCTGATCTGTAGTTCTATATGCTGAGTGGGTTAATGGATAGCCCTGAAAGCTGGAGCCTTTTGTAAAGCAGACACAAACTTAAGCAGAAACTAACTGTTAGCATTTGTAACCGAAGTATATTGGAACAAAGTTTTAAAGAGATTGATTGCTGTGATTTTATGTAAAGCGGTTGACTAATTCTCTAAGCAGTTCATACTGCTGTGACGTGAATAGTGGCATTACATGGTTTTAACTGAGGGCAGAATTAGGTACAGTAGGTAGGTTATCACTGCCAAGCGGTTACCCATCAGGGGCTGTCATTGTATGAACAGTTCTTTTCGCAGTGCCAGGTTCTTTATCCTGCTGACTGCCTTCTCAGTTATCTATTACAGTAGTTCAGTAGCAGACACAACATAAATTGGGCCAGGGAACTGATCTGCTTTAAGACGACTCTGAGCTGGCTTAAGAAGATTCAGCAAAAGAAAATGTTGTGTTTAATCTTGCTAAATCTTGACTCTGTCAGCCATTATGCTGGTGTTTCTCAGCAGCTCCCCAAGTCCTAGAAGAAAACATTTATGTATCATTGCATGAAGATGAGTCATCTGGGAATTAGATTGCACAACTGTAGACCCTTATTCCCAAACTATAGGAATGGGAAATAAAATCTGCGAACAGGATGCTGCACACAGCCAGCTCGGATATCACACTTGGCTTGTTAAGAGCCCACGCTGTGCAGTGAAGTGCTGGGTGGAAATGCCTGGGCTGGCCCCATATAGCTTTTCCTGGAAACGGTGTAGTGGCATCAATATCCGCAAGGGCTAATTAGTTCTGCTGAGAACCGGAGTTACTAATTCTCTTGTTGCATATTGTGCTACTGGCCCTTGGGCTTACGTCATTATCACTGTACTGTGCCTTTTAGACATACCAATCCATTTGGAACCAGATGGAGTGCTGCTAAACAGCACAAGACAGACAGACAGAAGTGAGGTCTCCAGGTACTGCAGGAAATCTGTTCTGAATCCATGTCAACCTACTACTCAGGCTCCTGTTGTCCACTAAACCATCCTGCCAATGGCTTCCTTGATCGTCACTTGCTTTTATTTGTTAAACACCAGCTGAGTCACTGGAATACTGCTGAAATGCATTGCTTTATTGAAGGAAAGATAACATACTGCAGATTCCTTTTGCGCTGACAGGACCTGCATTTTTACAAAATAATGCGTATTCTGTGAAGATGTAGGGTAAATTTCAGGCCATCTGCTTGGTGCCTGAGGTGAGTTTAAAGCTGAATCTACAGTACCGGATGCAAAAGATTTTGTGTCCTCCCACATCACCTACCAAAGGAGGTGCTGGAATTCAGTTTAACCATTATTTTGGGCTGCTGAGCTACCAGCTTACCAAGATGAAGGTACCTGTGCATGCTCAGAAGCAGTGTGAATATCTGGGAATACTGACATGACTGTCCATGAAAATCACAGTACTATAAATCCAGCATTGTAACACCACCACCCTCAAGGCGAATTACTCCATTACCATTTGTATTTGAGGTGGGAAAGTGCCCTAAGTCAGCTCAAATCCATGGGTTAGTTGAAGGAACTTGGTTATGCTGCGGCTAGGTGGCCAGGATGGCCAAATTGTTTCATCAACATGAGCTTGTTCTCTGAAATCTGTGGACCTTTGAGTAAGCTGTAAAGAAAACTTCCTTTTCAAATCAGTCTTTGCTTGGCACTAGTTGCTTTGCTGTTTAGAAGGCTAATAGGCTAAATTGCTCTCATGCAGTCTTTTGTCTTATTTAAAACCTAGAAAAAACTCTTGTTGTGTGTATAGTTGGGGTAGTAGCTAAAGAACAAGGAGATATATTAGAAGTGACTTGTTCAGGTGGCCTCAAGCAAGTCACTTCATGGTGTATGAGGGTATTTGATAACCTTTATGGAACGCTTTGCAGTCTGCTTCTGAAAAGAGCTCAATGATAAGCTAGTTATTAGGGGGTTTGTCATTGACATAAATTGAGCTTCTTTTTTTTTTTTTTTTTTTTTTTTTTTGAAAAGAGCTCAGTGATAAGCTAGTTATTAGGGGGTTTGTCATCGACATAAATTGAGCTTCTTTTTTTTTCTTTTATTCCAAGCATACTCAAAATTACTGGTGTGGAAAATAGCCAAAATGAAGTGAGTTTGGGGTGGTAGACAGAAAGTGAGGCTGTGTTGGAGGTGGAGGTGCCACCACATTTGGGTTTTTGTGTTCCTTTTTGCATTCCTTTGTCCTTCCAGTGGTGTCTGGATTGCCGTGCGCATTGCCTGTGACCAAGGCAAATGCAAAATACTTGCTGCTAGGTTCCATGTAGTATCTTGTTTTCTGTTTTTACAGAATCGTTCTTGAACTTTGCTATGTGTTACAAACTTTTTAGAAAGCTGCTTTTTCTGCAGCAGGGATTTAGGAGAGAGGGGATGCACGTTATAAATCAGGAAGTTAATACTTTAGTTCTTTGGAGAGTTGCACTGTAGTTGCCGTTCCTCCCTCTCCTATGGGTCTTTCTGAAATTTTTGTACAGTGTGATAGGTTTTGGTTGCCCGTTTCACTCCCTTTACTGTAATTCAATGCTCAGATTTGTGTCTTTGCAGCCAAAAGGTTCTGGATGAGACATCCTTTGCATGTCTGCTTTATTTCTTTATTGCTGCTGCTTGACAGCCTCTGGGGAGTTGCTGCTCTGCATCGTATTCTGAGCTCTGTTGACCTGGGGAGAGCTAAAGATTACGGCAGTAATGAAATCTTGGTGTCTTACACACTGTAGCAGAGCACTGTCTTTGCATGTGTAAGCTCAGCCCCAAGGCTAGTCTTTAAAACAATTTCCACAGTGACAGAGTATCACACTTCATTGCTTATGTTGCAAAAAAACTTTCTATTGAGTTTGTGTGCAGGTAAAAGAAGTGTAGCTAGCTGTCTGAATGCGCGCGTTAGAATTTGTGTTAATTGCAGCTGGGAAATCACTGAGAATTTTTGTGCAACACTAATCCATCTAGTTTTTCCAAGCTTATGTATCTAAAGGAATTCTTACTTGTGACTGTTTTATTGTTGGTGGACTGTTTGGGGGTTTTTTCCCCGCTACTTATCTCTATCCTTTTGAAATGAGGAAAAAAAAAAAAAAAAATGTTCTGTTTAGGACTTGACCAGAATGTGAAGGTAGTGTTTTATTAGTTATTTTTGCTTTTAATACCATTGCTGCTTGAATTCCATACCTTGTATTATATCAATTCTAAGTAATCTGAATTTTTGACTGGTTAATTTTCTTTTTCAACTCTTAACAGGCAAGCTCACATTTAGTGGCCCTGTTTGTATGTCCTGACCCAGTTGTCTCCCTTTCCTCCCCTTCTTGATTTTAAATGCAAGCAAAATCAGAATAAGTCTCTAGATGACTGAAAACAACCTTCATGTACACCTTTTCTGTACAATTCTATCACTTGTCTGGATGTATGACATATACTGGGTCTGAAAAATCATTTGAATAATGCCTCAGGAGACTTGTGCAATATTCTGAATATTTGCAAGAGGATAAAAATAACTTTTAGGTGTTTTCTCCCAACTTTTTTTATGTGTGTGAAGTATTGCTAGTGGATTTTGCCTTCTGTTACTGAAAGTTATAGGGAATTCCTGATTGCTTGCTTAATTTTAAGAAGTTCTTGTTCATGCTTGTCAAAATCTTTGTCTAGCTAGAAAGACATGGTGATAGGAATAAGTAGTCCATGCTTTACGAGGTATGAGTAAGGATCGATACTGAAAAATGAGAACAAGCTTATGTTATATGTCTTCTTCCCTAAGAAAAAGGTGTTTAAAATTGCCAAGATTTAGTTCTGTGCAGTTTACAGAGCTGCTAGGTAGAATTAAGGGTTGTAGGATTACGTAATACTTATCTTCAAAATGAAATTTAAAACACTGACAGTCAGATCTGACTTAGAAACACCAGCTTTTAGAATAAGGGAAGATTGGGATTAACTGTCCTGAGTTTAATTATATTATTTAACCATGAAATTTGAGTGAAAAGCAGTAGTCTGCATGGGTGGAGCAGTGGCAAGATGCAAGTGAGGTATCTGACGCACGTCTTCACTTTTTATGAACTTGAATGTTTGCTTCATTGTCATTAAAAATCTGCAGGTGGATTTCTGTCTCTTATTGTGAAAACTCAGGCAGGAAAGGAGGATTCTTCTTACCGTTAAGCGCTTAACTGAGGTGCCTAAATTGGACACCACCTTGCCGTATGTTCCCTCTAAAGGAAAGAGAGAAACTGGGTGTCTGACTTCTGAAAGAGAGTTTGTACTAGAGCTGAATTGCTCCGTGAAGGTGTGTCTATTTTGGCTGCGTTAGTAGCCCAAGATACTCAGCTCAAAGTCTGGTGATAGGAATTCATGCTTGTGTTTCCCTCTCCTTTCCAGAGTGTTATGGAGTTTCTCCCTTTACTGTTTTCGTTGAATTTCAACACTTTCATTTCAAGACCACAGACTTGTGCACAGCCTGTTTTCATCTGTTTGCTACCATTCCTTTAATCGGATTTGTGCAGTTAGTCTTGCTTGTAGCATGAAGCAGCACTTCAGAAGGAAATATTGGCAAGTTGCAAAAGTTGGCTCACAAGTTAGCAGAAATGGCACGCTGCTTTGGTAATGCCCCTGCTAAAATGCTTTCCTCCCCTTGCTACTGGGATACTCTGCTGTGTCTGATTCAGTCTTCACTTCACTATGACCTTTACTGAGTTTGTGTTTCTTTTCTGTTTTTCTTTTTTTTTTTTTTTTCCCCATAAGGGAATCTTGCCTTTGGCAGATCCCTCTGCCCTCAAATCCTTCTTAGCAGTCAGTGGTGATCTGCTCTACATATTTCATACTTCCTCAGGCTTATAAAGTAATTATTTAAGAACCAGAAGCTGCTGGTCACTAAGAAAGAGGTTGGGTTTTTTTTTTTCCTAGAGTTCCTGTAACATATTCCTGGTGTGATGCAGATGATGTTCTGCAGGCAGCAGACTGGCAGCTATTTCTGAGGGGTTGACCCATGCATTTTGATCTTTGGTGTTTGTTCTCTGCTGTCTTTGTAATTTTCTTCTGTGTCAAAGACTGTCAATCGAGGAGAAGTTTTATTTGGTTTGTAGTTTGCTTGGACTTTCCCAAAAGTGCTTGCACCAAATCCAAATGCTCTTTTTCTTCCATTTCAGTAGTAGACTGAATTGGCTCTGTCAGGGACTTTCTACTTTTAATTTCCACTCTGTGTACTGGTATCAGAAAAATGGCAACAGGGACAAGCCAGGAGGGACACCAGTTTTCAAGTCAGGAGAAAGGCGATGCATTGCCTCTTAGGAATACCCTGCTTGCCTTTCAAGTGTAGCTGACTTTCCAGAGCCAAAGTGTGATTTATGTCTGATAAATTTTTGGAAGAGTGTTTTAAGGCAGAAGATCATTTGATTTAAGTGCATCTTGACATGTTTAATATTTGAAGTGGATGGGAATGGATGGTGACAGGGCGAAGAACAGGCCAGGGGATGTGGGGAAAAGTCTCAGGCGTGTTGAGAGCAATGCGAGGAGAGGTGTAGCAGGTTTTAGATCCATGTGCTGTTTTGTGTAGGACGTATTAGTTCTGTCTTCATATATGCCTGACGAGCTTGTTCTGTGTCTTCAGCAGAGCAAATTTAACTGCAGTTGGGTGTGAGTGTTGCTGTTTTGTGTGTAGTTTTTCTTCTGTGTAGCTACTTGTCTGTTTGGAGGATTGTTTGTTTTTAAGCTTGTAGTCAAATCTCTAATGCCTAAGTCTTGTATGAGAGTGATAGTGTTGGCAAGTGGAGGAACCCTCAAAACTTCTAACGCTCAGTCCCGTTCAGCTTAGTGGGGTTATACAGTTGGGATCAGAGCCTTACTCTGCAGCTATAAATAAAACCAGCTTGGGTTCATACAGCCCTTTGCTTCAGGGAAGACATCAAAGTAATTTTACAAATTCTGCATCAGCATCACATTAAAAAACAAGGGAACTGAGTTCTGACTTTGCTAGTGATCACGCAAAGTGTTGCTGCCTGTGTAATCATGCTGTCATTTTATTGTTATTTTTCTGTACTTTGTTATTGACCTTTGAAGTAGAGACAAAATATTTTACCTGCATCTGCCAGCATAAAGTGAGTCTAATCCCATTTATGTTGTGTGACTTCATTAATAATTGCTTCTTGTTTAAAAAAGCTTTTTTGAAGAAGTGACTTGTTAAAAACAACTTAATGAAATAACCAGTACGCATTCTATGGAGCATTTTTGTTTTCTTTTTTAATACTTTTGCTCCACTGTCTAAATTCAGCAAAATTTTCTGCTTTGCAGGTATCTTGGTCAGACATAGGAGGACTGGAAGATGTCAAGCTGAAATTGAAGCAGGCAGTTGAATGGCCCCTCAAGCATCCCGACTCCTTCACCCGAATGGGGATTCAGCCTCCAAAAGGTGTGCTGCTTTACGGACCTCCTGGGTGCTCAAAAACAATGATAGCAAAAGCTTTGGCTCATGAAAGTGGTCTCAACTTCTTGGCAGTCAAGGTAGGGTATTTAGTCTTACATTTTCTTAACTCCTGCATGACAATTGATGTCTTACCAATTTCCACTGCTAGAATCCAGCGGCTCTTAGTTTCTGATCATTACAAATGCTACAGTGAACACCTTGTAAATATCAAGTAAGGTTTGTGTTTTCTTTTGAAAAAGACTAGTGCTTTCTTGTGTGCTTTTTAAAAATTATTTATTTATTTTATCACAGCACAGAAGTTGTGTTGGATGGCTGGGTAAGTTGCATAGTGACATCTTAATTATTGGCATTACTTAAAATTTTTTTAAAAATGGAAACAATGAAATTCTTAAAGCAATATAAATACAACTCTGGATAGTGGGTAGCTCTTCTTACTGTAATAATTACTTGCTTGCATGGAAATACTATCATCTCATCTTACATTCTTTTTTGTTCCTCAGGAAAGTCACTTTATTTTACTGTTCATGGTTCATGCAGACTTTTCTTGCCCTATTTGCCTTTTTTCAGGGGAAACAATTCTACTTCATCAGTTTTTAAGAAAGTTTGCAAAATCAGTTATATCTGGAGTACCCTTGGATAAGTGGGATATTCTCTCAGCATAAGAAACACTTCAAGTATAGAAAACTTTTGGATTTATTGCCCATGAATCAGTGTAATTGATTACTGTGGGTTGTATGGAAAATGCATGAATGGAAGTTATTTAATAATAAAACTGAGCTTCATCACATAGGAAGAAAAAAAAGAAGATAGCAGAGTGATTCCACATGGGGTAGCCTTGCAGCTGTGTCAGAATGTTAATGAAGTGCAAGAAAAAACATTTGTTTAAGTATTTTAAAAGTACCATCTCCTCAGCAGTGAGATCACGTCCCCTTGTCTGTTGACCATCTCTTTACTCACAAAGCCTTCTGTGTTGTTAGTTTCTACAGAGCTTCCTCCTCTGCCTATCCTTTCCAACACACTGTAAGTGTAGCTCCAGATCCTGTCCTCTCTGGGAGCAGGGGCGGTTGCACTGGCCCTCAGGCCAGCAGCCCCTCATTGCCTGTGCTTCCCGGTATTACAGACGGGCCTCTGGGTCATGGTCACATCAACAAGAGCAGCCTTGGAAACCTCAGCCCTTAAGAAACGCTACCTTTACCGCCTGTTCCATAAAGACAAAGTAGTTCTTTGTACTCCAGAGTTACTGGTAAACAAGGTAACCTTTTCCTCCTGCACTGCTTAAAAGAAAACATTCTTCTTTGTCTCGCCCAAAGCACTGATGCCTGAAAGGGTGGGGAAAAAACGTAGCAGTCAAAAACAAAACAAAAAACAAAAACCAAAAATGAAAAAAACCAACAAAAAAAATCCCAGACAAAAACCAGTTAAAAATGAACGCTGTTGCTATCCTGTATTCATCAGACATAGCTACATCAGACATTTTTTTACTGATGCAGTGAATTGTCCAAAAGTAAAAGGTGGCTCATGCTGAATAGGAGGTAGCTGAAGGTACACTGATATGCTTTTGTACAGTAATGCAGTGTTTCTTCACAGTGGAGTTCTGACGGTGCAAACCCCCCTGTCATTGACAAGCTGCAGCAGAAGTGGCTGGCTTGGGTGAACTGCATTTTATTCCCTGTTGGTTTAAATCCCTTGGCCTCGAACTGGTCGAATAGTCAATGTACAGATGTTTCAAGAAGCATAGCTCTGGAGCATGTCCAGCCTTGGATATGTTGACTCCAGGAAGGGAACATAGCCCACTTTCTCTACCTTCACATTTGCTTCCTGGACAGAAAAGGAGACATCCATCATGTACTAAATGTGTTAAACATCATTGTCTGTAGCACTTCTTAAAGCACAACAGGCATGAATTAATTTCCACTCTGTGTTCCTGCAATAAATCCAAAGTAGATGAACTTGTGAGGGTTTTTGGGTTTTTTTGTTGGAGAGGGGATTTTTCTTTTCTTGCTTATAGTCCTATTAATTTTCCCATTCTCTACGTTATGTCTCAAATATCTGTCCCTGGAGCTGATACTAGGCTTTTTGAAATGGAAGCGTATTTCTTGATAATTTACTTTTCAGACTTGCATTTTCCTTCCAGTCTCTCTTGCCCCAAATAAGTAATTTTGATGAAAAGTGTCTGCTGTACAGCCTGTAGAATATGTGTACTCTTTCAGGATAGTTCAGGTGGCTCAGGTTCTTGGGTCGGTCTTGAGAACAGACTGCAGACAGTCTGTGGGAGCAGGCTGCTGGATGCTGTCTTTCCCTGTGCCTGAAACCTGAGAGGAAATTGAGTACGTTACATGCAGTGCTTACTTGGTCCAGTGATTTTTGGAAGATGGACCTGTTATGTCTGCACGATACATTTAAGATACATGGGCACAGTAAGTCCAACTCTCTCAAGAAGTGCTGAACGTACTCTACTTGTCAAATTTGACTGCCCAGCTTGGGTGCAACAGGTATCACCCCTGCCCCAGCCTGCCTTCAGGAAGGCTTTGCACTATTTCCCAGATGTGTCTGTGCAATGTCTGTGCAATTTGGACAGCTGATTGTGTTAAATGAGGTACTTCAGCCGGGTTAAATGTAAGCTGTTAAACTGTGACATTTCCATGTGTGGTGGGCACGGCTGGTTGTCATCATGCTGTATGAGGCATGGTCAAAATGGCGCAGCCTCCAGCCCATATCTGACTTGCCTCTAATGAGGTTTGGAAGATGGGCAAAGTCTAGATGTAACTTCTGGGCAGAGGAGCTGAAGAAAATAACGTGATAACAGATGTTTGACGTTGCATCCTGTTCTCTCCTGAAATCTATTGTGAAGTTTGAATGGTTAGTGTTACAATGAATGTGGCCCTTTTGTAAACATGCTCTTTGATATTTGGCCAAAACTTTTTATAGCTATATTTTCACCAAGATTGGTGACCTTTTCCTTTTCCAGAGAAAAGCAGTTGGTTGATTTGTTTGTTTTACAAAGCAATCTTGCATATCATTCCTAAAGGGAATTGTTTATTTGTATTCCTTCACTTGACTTTCTTTGTCTCTAATACAATATATCTGCTAAATTTACTGGGGAGGAGGTTGTCAACTACTTTCAGGGGATGGCTCTTCCTGCTCCCTCCCACCACACCGTTTTCTAAATCTCTTGCAGCATTGAGGCTTTTCAGAGTTTTAGTGGTCATCTTGATTATTCCCCTCTTCCAAACCTCTGTTGCAAAAAGAAAACTAAATTATTCTCAACTTCTTGGAGAGTTTTTGGTGTTTTGTGGTCATGGATACAAGCGAGTATAAGACTGTGTGAAGGAATGAATTAGGATAACTTTTTCATTCTTTAGGATTGAACATCAGTCGACTTATCAATAGTTTTTGATCTAGTTCAATTCTTATTTCAGTCAACCTTCTATGCACTTTTGTACTTCTTCATACTCCTTTTGTGCTCGCCCTAAAGCTTGTAATTTTCTTCTGAAATGTATCTTATGCATTTCTTTGTCTAATAGGAAAAGAAAATTGCATGCAGATATTGGACCTATCAGTATTAATAGGATGGGGGATATACTTTTCAGCTTCTGTCAGGCTGATAACAGCTTTCTGTTATATACAACTGTCTCTGTGACATTTTTGCTTTCGATGTCATCTAGTTTTCTGAAATTGAACATGAAGAAGATGAAACCCTTTGTCACTGTGTTATTTCTGTGGGCTTTTTTCCCCTCTTTTGACTGTTTGTGGCAAGTATCTCTCTGTACTGTTTTGACAGTTCCTGCGCTTAGGGTCAGCTTTGGCTGGCTGCTTTTTTGAGGTATATGTTGATTAGACCGCTAGGATTTAATGGTGATATTATAAGAATATTTTTGGAGGAAATTTCTATATCTTGCTGTATGGCAGAGATAATTATATCTGCATTTGTCTTGCATCTTAGTTTATTTAGATTTGTTATGACTACCCTCTTGGATTTTTTTTCATTTTTATTTTTAGGTAATCCTGCATCATTGTGTTTGCTAGTAATCTAATGAATTTTACTACACAGATTTTTCTGTTGCTTTTCTGGGAAGCAACTTGCAGAGAATCTCTGTGGGTATTTTTTTTTTCTCTCTCATTATTATGATATCTAGGTAACAAACTTTACTACCAAACAAGAAAACCAGTGCATTTTTTTGTTTTTAACCTATTTCAAAATGAACGCTGAAATTTGCTCTTAAGTTGTCAGGCTGGGAGGCACCACCATGGTACCTATCCAGATAAACTCCATCACCCAGTTGCAATGTGCTCCTTAGATGACAGTCCCATAAAGGCTGTGAGGATTGGAAAATCCTTTTGCCCCGAATTGCCCATAAGCCCAGGATGCTGCATACTAGAGGGGATGTATGTTGATAGTATCCTGCATTGGATTACCTTCTATTTACTGAGCCTGCTAAAACCAGGGGGAGCATTTCTGCTAATTTCAGGAGGCTTTTGCTCAGGGTTATATCAACAGGGGACTTTGAGTTCTGTTTTCTGTTCAACAAGCAGATTACCTGAGTTTACGAAGTAAGTAACAAGAAAAATTATGTAACTTCTATATGCTTGTAATGGTTTTGGAAGCGTAATTTTTCCTCTTGCTGCTTAGTGCTTTTTAATGTTTGTCTGTTTAAAATAATAAGGGCAAAACTCACTTAGTGATAGTGACAAAAACCAGCTTAAATTTTCAGAAAATTTAGATCTCTAAAAGTTAAACCCTTGGAATTCATCTGAGACACACAAATTGTTATAGATGTGATGAAGCAATATTTAAAAAAAACCACAAAACCAACCAACCAAAAAAAAAAACCAACCCCAAACCTAGCCATAATGGCAAGTAGTGTTTAAGGATGTAAACACAAAGCAGGCCAATGGTACAGATGATGTGTATTATACTGCTCTAAAATATTATTTGCATTGGTTAAGAGCTCCAACTATGCTGGAGAAAAAAATAGGTTAGAAAATATTCCTGACATTTTATTTGCTGTTACTTAAATGCTTGGGCTGAAGGAATCTTTTCTTTTTTCAATTAGCAGTAATTACAAAAATATACACT